GTTTCAAAGAAATATCGACAAATGAAACCAGAGAACTTAAACGTTCTGGGATTGAAAATGAATCTTGAAGACTGGGAGAAAGTATATTCCGAATGAGATGTGGATGACAAGGTCTCAGTCTTTAACTCTATCGTCATCTGTATGCTTGATGAAGCCATACCCGTGAGAATATTTCGCGCGCACTGTACGGACAAACCGTGGATGACCCCCAATATTAAAGCGTTGATAAAAGCAAGACAGAGAGCATTTACGAAAGGGGAGACACCGAAGTATAAAAGTTTACATGCAAAAGTCACCAAGCTGATATCCAACGCTAAAGCTACGCACTATGTGGTATAATAACTTTATTAGCATGACCAACAGTTACAGGTATTGCTAAAGCTTTAACTACAATAACTAAACATACAAACTAAAGTTAACTACTATAGGCTAAATACGACCTATTACAAGATTACAATAAGGTAAAGAAGCTATTTACAAGATAGAGGTCAAATACGATAATATTGAACTTTAGTGTTCAGCATCCCTGGTCTTGAGGCGTTTATCTCTTAGCTCGAAACAGGAAAGAACAAACTTGGATAGTTCTAGAATCGTTTCATTTTCATTTTACTTTAATATGTCAACTGATAGATTTTGTTCTCTTTGGTATGTATTGTTGGTGAGAACAGTGAGGAAGTCTTGCCTAATATTGTCGTAGGCATCACATGAAATAAGAAAGTGTTGCTCATTTTCTATTTCGTTTGATTTACAAAGCTTACATATTCGTTCTTCTCGGGGAATCTTGTGGTATCTACCACATTCAATCATTAATTTGTGATTGCTTATTCGGAATCCAGTCAATGATCTCCTCTGGTTTATGTTTCTTATTACGGTAAGATACTTTTCTAATTGGTATTCTTTTTTGAAAGTTGAGTAGAAATATAATTTGGACGAGTGTTCAATTTGGTGTTTCCAGAATGTAATGTATCGTTGTTTAACAGTGTCAATGTTAGAATTTAATGATTGAGCAGATATTGATTCTAAATCCACTATTTGCGAGTGGCATTTGTAGTGTTTTAAAATATTCATAGCATTTTTATAAAAGGACATTTTATTATTCGAGTATAGGTCTTTTGATATTAAGAAAGCTTGTTTTGCAATTGCTGTTTCCAGTGGCGGATTACTAGTTGCGGGGCCTATAGGCTAAGTAAAATTCGCGGGCCTTGAGATGGTATTCTCACGGCTATGGATGGTGTCACATCTCGTAGCAGGGTCCAGAGTCACATAGTTCGCCCAACTAGTTGGAAATTTAAGATCTCGAAAATGCTATTCCGCTTTTGTTGGCCCCATGGCCTACTCCTACCATTAGCCATTACCAAACAGAGAGACTAAATTTAGTAAAATGTGAAAGCAGGTAATATGAAACCCGTGTATGATACTGGACTTGACCGCTTGATAGTTATTAAACAACACTCTTATAGTTATTTACATGAATTACATCAATAACCTTACAAAATTGATTTGCGGCATTTACAAGATGCATTAAACTCTTTAATAATATCATGGAAGTCGATTTTGCATAAAACCTCCGCCTCTATACTCATTATAGATAGATTGTTCAGTTTCTGGTCTGTCATGGTAGACCTAAGCACATTCTTGATGCGTTTCAATGCCGAAAATGACCGTTCTCCTGAACAATTGCTCACCATTAATGTATTGTCAAATAAATTCGCAAGGCAATTTCGACGTTTGGAAAACTTCGTGGATTTCTCTTTTTGCAAGAATACGGTACATTTGAAGCTCAACGCTTATGGCTTCATCTGAGTCATCTAAGGTCATCTAACGCATCTTCCTTGCGAGGTACATTCTTTCCCTTGAAATATCCACGAAAATGGACCAGCTCTTCTGCGAGAGATGGCTCCAACTCCAAGTCATTTGGATATTGCTGTACCAAATTGTCCGCTCCATCTTTGAGCTGTTTGGCATCGAGATGCAAAACATTGTGAAGAAATCCAAACTTATGCGACAGCTTGGCATAGGCTTGTAAACGCTTGTTGAGCTCTGTCAGCATGCAGCTTGTCCAGAATAGGCAAATACATTTCAACTCTGAAACGAACGCTCGGAGTGAATTCTGCTTTTTCAGCTGCACCATCATTTAAAGTCAGTCTTACACTTCGAGTGCGTTTTCGACCCACCTCTGTTTTGTAAGATTTTGATCTTGAGCGTAATCTTCCCTTTTCTTCAAAATCATCAAACGAATCTCTGAGAGTTGCTGTATAATTCATCAAAGATTCCAAGAGAGCGACAGCTTCATTGAGATCCAGATCGGCACTTTGCAACTTCATGGACGTCTTGTGGAATAGTTTAAGAACAGTTTCCCAAAGTAAAAGTAATCAAAAATTCATTCTCTACAAAATCACGGGCCTCTCAAAAGCCCGGGCCTGTAGGCTTGAGCCTACTCAGCCTATTGGGTAATCCGCCACTGCGAGGATGCTTGTGATAGCTGTTCCAAGGTCCTCGTGTCAGAAGTTAAAAGACAAAAGCAGTCTGTTATCAAAAAAGCAACATCATTGAAAGAGAAAGCTCCTTTATCTGGTTCTAGCAAAGAACGATTAATTGCTACCATACAGCAACAGCGTATCGAGGCAAAGGGTCTGAAAGATAGACTTTCAGGTTTGGAAAAGGAGATAAACTTGAATAGCATCACTGTCAATGAATCTCTTGAGGGTGACATCCTTAATATTTTGGGCAATGCTGACTTGAAGAAAACACCACACATGGACTTTTTCTGGCAGCAGCAAAAGAAATTACTTTCCTCCCCAAAGTTTGGCAGAAGATATCAT